CGTATTGTTCGAGAGGACTAGACTATTGTCTTGCGTTCCCTTGAGGATTAAGAACAATACGAGAACGCTACGAAAACGGTACAGTGTAAACGCTGCCTTTGAGTTTTTGGTCACACTATAAATTTTCAACTGCACACTACAATTGTACAAATGACAAAGAAATCAACAGTGGACAAATATATACCTTTGAGCAACAGCACTTGAGCTCGATTGTTATAAACAGAAGCAGAGTGGGGACAACACTCCACAGCTTCATTTAAACAACTCAATGCAATATCAACATTCCCCTCTTCAGCACTTTTTACGGCTAACATTTCCAACTCTTTTGCTTTTTTCTCTGCCTCAGTTACTTCATGGCCATTCATAACATGTTCTTCTGTTGCCTCAGTTTCTTCTGGTTGTGTTTCATAACCAAATGTATGGTTAGGATTAAAAATACTGTCGAGAATACTTTGGTCACTCTCTGATAAAGTCGCCATTTTGACAGCAAAAAATTATCTGTGGCCGAGAAAAAATAGCCATGGAGCACTGGGTACGGGTCACTGATCTGAAATAGGACAAAGACGTGACAGACAAACAGAAATACTGTATTCTGTAGTCATACCACATTACCACAATGTACCACACCTTAGTTCAATCACATCAATGTACGACACACCTGTGCACACACGGACATTCACATACATACTGACCCCTTACCCTCTTTCTATTAACCCGTCCCCTCTGTTCACGACAAAGAAATGCATGTTCAGAGGTCCGCGTTAGGTTACTATGTTCATTTCGTACAGAAGAAACGAAGAAAAAGGGCGAAGCTAAACCTGCCGTTTAAATTCGACAAAGGCATAACAAACATAATAAGTTATCCATCTATTTAGTGGTACACAAGTGCCTACTTCATTATATATGTATACTTTACCTAACCCACTGAAGAAGCCCTTAATCGGCGAAACGTTTGGGTATAGAAATTTTATTAAATTTTTTAATGTCTGAAGTCTGTGAAGAAGTTCATTTTAACCAAGATTCATACCAACACCAGACATGGTTACCGAAACCCTACCACATACATACATATATATATATATCATAGGGTTTCGGAGCAGATATATAGCTTTTTTTTACCTCAAAAGGTTGTCACAAGAGCCTGTTTCACCCAAGAGGAATCATAAGGTGTGGCTGACAGATTTCGAAAAATGGGCTGATGATTCCTCTTGGATAAAACAGAACAACCTTTTGAGGTAAGAATAAACAACTTTTGAGGTAAGTATATATATTTTTTATATACTGTATATATGTGGTATGGACACTTGTGCACACTGCCACTGTCGATTCTGATGCCAATTTTATTAAACAACGTACACGTTTGAAAATCGTTTCCAAAAACATTTTTTGTGCATATTTTGGATTTGTGAATCATTGTAACTTTGCAATGCTGCATATTTGTAATATTTCTCAATTTGAGACAAAGAATTAGAATTTTAAATTAAACAGGACCGGAAAAAGATAAAACAAACACAATGGGGAACAATATTGAAAATATTTTGTTATACTACACCTTGCATTGTAAACAAAGACGGACGATTCAACTTGTTTGACAAAATACCTAAGAAATGGCATTGCCAAAAGTCTCAATCGTATTCCTACAGGTAAACTTAAATTCAGAATAGTAACGTAACAATTTATACAGAACAATCCTATAATAACAACTGCGATAATTATATATACGATTTGTAAAGATAAATAACACTACTTCAGAGTGTTATTTATTTCCAATTTCCAGCTATAATTAAAGCCATATACAGATTATTTTATAGTAATACTGCAATACTTTGAACGATACTATAAATGTTTTAATAAATCCTGTTGTTTTAGGTTGTCATTGTAATTCA